TACCTACCCAGAATTTAATGAACACTTTCTACTAACCTTTTAATAGTTCAACATACATTTCACTGCCGTTAGACACATGGACATCTTTATATATTAACAGATGATCAAGATATATTTGACCAAGTGATCTGGATGTCTTTTTACGCAATCTGATTCTGCAAAGTGAGTATTTTAATAATCATATCACAGACAAAAGATGTCTTACTTGTCTAATTCTAAGACACAATCAATTCCTTGTATTTCTGCCTCTTCAATAATTTGTTTCTTAAATTCTCGAACTGGCGTATTTTTGGACACAATTGACTCCATTATAAACTTACAAAACTAATTTTAAAATATAAAATAGCACTTCATTTCACATACTGTAACATTTTGTAAAGTTTTAAATTAATAATGCAAATATTAATCATCAAACATTATTAATAATTAACAAATAATGACGTGTTGAAGCTTCATTGTTGTGATGGCATAACTATAGTAAAACTGTAAAAGTTATGCTGCTTACCTCTTCATTATTAACAAGTAATAGAAAGAGCTTAATCCTGTAATCCTGTAACCCTTTACCCAACTTTACCACAATCTATAGGAACATAAAGAGAGTGAGAGATTATTTAAATTATAAAAGATAGAAAAATACCTTTGAATCACAAGACAATTTGGCTAATGAGTCGGATAGACACAGAATTTCTTGTTCTGGCTGATTATCTTTAGTTTGAAACAATCTAAAACCAGTAGCTGGTACACCAACCATTGGAACAAGCTTTTCCTTTAATTGAGCAAATGATATTCTATTATCAGCTTTTATCTGTATCTCTAATTGATTAATAACAAGACAATGTTAGCTAATGTGACTTAGTAAATAATAATTGTTACTTCTTTCTCTTCCTTCATTTATTGAAACAATCTTCATCATCATTTCTCCACTACCACCTGTGTTTGGTATGGCAATATCCCTTCTTCTTACTTCCCCTTTTCCTCCTCTTCTTTCAGGTCGAGAAGGCATTGAAATGTGTAGCATTACTGATTGTAAATGAAATGTAACATATCTGTACATTAGACTTTTGTTATATTCTCTTTGATAATCTTCAATATCTGACAATGCATATAACTGAATGGAAGCAAAAGTAAGAGAGAAAAGGAAGGGATATAACAGATAGGAATTTAGTGGACTTCATACCAATTCACATGCCTGTACATTATGTCAAGGTACATGTAATTGAATCCTGATTACAATTTATTACAAACTGGGTGCATAGCCCTTAATATTATTTTAACTTTTAACCACATGTGATGTACATTTATTTTACCAAATTCAACTTTATATTTTGTTACAAAAATGACTTTAGAAATTTAAAATGTTTAGCATGCCGATTTATTCAGTCATTTTTGAAAATATATGGTGGTCTGGTGTATGCACCACGTTGTAATAACATATAGCATAATAACAACATACTTAACAATTATAATACCAATTCACATATCAGGAAATTATCACTCATTACTCGATCATCATTAACATTTACAGGAAATCACAAAGTCAATTTCCAAAAATACAGATTATAAAATTATTGCTAAGATATTTTACCCCTATAATAAACCCCAGTATACAGTAATTTACACATACAAATGTAACCCTATGTATTTGACTCAATTCCTGAGTACTGCAACATACACAAAATACATGTAATCAACTAACCATTCTTATCTAATAAAGACATACTTTGTGTCTCCTTGACATCAATTCTCTTAAGTATGCTGTATCATTCGCCAAATGCATACCATAATAATTACCAGCAAGGAAAGAAAGATAAAACTCATTAAGTAATTCATCATCTGCATCGTAATAAGTTTCCAGTACTAGCCTCATGCATGACGGATTAATATTAAATAGCTAAAGAGAGAAAAGAAAAAGATAAAAGCTTACAAGCAACAACATTACCAACTTCAGTCTTACTTCTCCTATACACTGTTTTAATTCTCCAACAGTCCAACCATGCTCTGCTCTCATTGGTTCAGCTGCAGATACTTCACCAGTTGAAGGTTCCACTACTGATATCTTCAAATTAATTCCTACACACGATGCAAAATACATGTAAAGAATATACCTGAAAAATGACAACACTAACCTCCAATATTGTATACCTTGAAGTGTTCATTTTCTTTTCGAGTTTGCAAAAATACTCCAGAACAATAGCAATTATCTACAGACATACCCATCAGTTTATCAATAGTTTGATCCTGAAACTAAATTAAGCTTAACTTAAAATATTAAGAACAAATTTATACTTACCTTGTCGAGATCAAATGACTCGTCCATTGCTTCATAGTAATAATAATATCTGACTAAACGGCATCTCTCAATAGGAATGTGTGGTGCTAATTTCATAGACTATAAAAAAGAGGAAATAATAGCATACAACATTTCCCACAATGAATGCTAAGTGAGCTAAAAAGCATGCTGACAATATGTGTACTTGGCATTTTGAGCTATTTTTAAAATTCATAAAAAAATCAATTTTGATCAGAATCAGCTCAAACACAAAATTATAATGAAACAAAAAAGAACTCTCTCCTAAACAATTTTGGTAAAAATAGGCCAAAGATTCTGTATTATAGTACTAGGACTTTGGTTTGATTATTAAGTAACATTAAAAAATTGTAAAGATTCCAGATTTTATCGAAAATTGCTACATAACATAAAACATGAAAATGTATTTTTAAAATTATAAAAGTGAAGAATTCTCTCCTAGTAATATTTGGCAAAATTTGGCCAAAGACCCTGTGCTATACTTAGTAATGCTACCGCATTACTAATAGTACAGGGACTTTGGTTTTGGTCAGACTCTGCTCAAACAGACTACATAACATAAGAACATGTATATTATCAGAAAATTTTTTAAAAAGAGAATTCTGTTATAATCATTTTCTGACAAAATTTGACCAAAGCCCTGTACTGTCTGTACTATATAATAAAGGGACCCATTGAACATTTGTCCAGTTTTTGAGAAGCTTTTAAAATTCTTTAAAAATCCATTTTTTTATCAGAAGCAGCTTAAAATTTTCATTATAGCACATTAACAAATTATGAAAATAAAAATTCCTCTCCTAGCAATATTTTTGTCAAAAATTTTGCAATTTTAAATCCACTCACAAAAACTTGCATGAACACTATGCAAAATCTTCAGGGGAAACCCTGCAGAATGGATCTGTCTAAAGTGACAATGCAAATAATAAGTAATGATAAACCTCATAAGCTTTATCCAGTGTTTCAGGAAGTAATTCATCCTTATTGATTTCAATTACTGATTCAATTAATTCACCACTGACTGGATGATTACAATATATTCTTAACTATTAAATAAAAAGTACATGTACGTATTATATAAATCATCACTTTTTGTCACTCTTACTTTACGCATTGATTCTTGCTTCTGTCCTTCT